ATTTTTGCAGCTTTGTATGATTCCAATAGAATCTGCATTGATTTTGAACTATGTATAATAGCCACTTTATTTTATACTTATTGACATTTCAAGAGAACTTGTTTACTTCAAGTGCGATAAGAAATTTATTTGGATTTTTTAACCTTAAAAATGAAAATAAGGCTGGATTGGACCATCACATAGTTCAAACTCTGAAATTTTATTGGTTATATCTTATAATATGTGAAATTATATCTATTCTTGGTAAAAAGTTATTACAATTGTTGACCTAGATGACACTGAACAAAACAATGAACCTTGAGTATAAATCTCTTCTTAATGAAAAAAAATTGAAACAATTTCAATACACTTTTAACTCATTAGATATTATTATTGCTGTTTAAAAGAATGTTTCCTGGTTTTAAATCATCACCTTATTGTAGTAAAGGGTTATATCCCATTTAATTATATAAAGAATTAAGCTGTTATTGCACTAAGGAGACAATAAAATTATACTATGCTAAAGTAACACACAGTTTTGCTTATGACGTAAGCATGTTATATCTTAATATCAAAAAATTGTATAAAAAATTATGATTTTATTTTTATAGAGAGGACACCAATGAAACTAAAAGTAACTCCACCAAAGAAGAGTTCCTGTTTATATGTGTGCCAGCATTGTTTGGTACATCTTGGAGATATAGGTATCATGTTAATTATTTATTGATGTTCTTAAAGCAGCACACCTACAGGTGAATAAGATAAAATATATATCTATATTTGAAGAAACGTATTTAAGTATTTACAGTCAAGGTGAAACTCTAAAATATGTTATATAAAATAAACAGAATTTATAATTTTAAAATTCTACATTATTATGCTTGTAGTAAGAAAAATTTCAGTTTATTTTGATAAATCTTTAGTAATTTCTATGGATGCTGCCTAAAGGCAAGGTAAAAATCATTTAATTTGTAAGCATGACAGCATTTTTCTTATAAGACCATTATATAAGTTTTCATAAAATAAACACACATCCTGAGGTGAGCTGCTGTAATCTTTTAATACACTGCCACCCTGTTATAATGTTGACATTTATTGAATGATAATTCTTATATGAATCTGAAGTGGGTGCGGTAATGTGTCAATTTATCGATGATCCGAACTTCATTAACATGCAGTGTTGAGACCTTGGACTCCATCATGAGCATTTTATCCTGCTACTGTCTATATCATCAGCTGGATAAACTTATCTATCTCCAGTCATTATGTCACATGATGACGTCACAATCATGTTTAGCAGAAAAACAAAACTGCATATAGATGCTATTTTATCGGAGAAAAAGAAGAATGAAACTATATAATTATTCTAAAAACATGATAAAAAGCAGGATAAATCAAATACATGGTTGATGTCGGGATGGAAAGAGTTAATCCGGTTCGCTGCGAAAGTGAATCTTGGCTCGCTAAAGCTCGCCAAGATACACCTTCTCGCTCACGACATCATGTATTTTCTATGTATCGGGGCTGTAGTGTAGTTAAAATTACATGTCCATGACCAGTGTTATTCATTTGTTTGTTTACAGCAAGGTATAGACAGCAGATAGATCAGGCTCAAACCTACTACTGGCATGCTGCATATCTTGTACCATTTAATGGTAAGTTGCTCATATTGGTACTGGTTAAAGTGAAGTCAATTTTGTGCCTTTTGAACTGGCATGGTCGGATTTTTCAAGCGAGAAAGCTATCCAGCTAGCTTATGGAATATTGGTTGTTCTACTCAGGTGCCTGTTCGTGCCTGAAATAATGCACAGAGGGACACATGTGGTCTTCCTTCACCAGTAAAGCAGGAAAGTCACCATATGACCTATACTGTGTTGGTGCAACATTAAACCCAACAAAAACCAAAACAAACTAAACTGGCATGGTTAGGGTCATTGGACACAAATTCTTTGCCACTTATTTATGAATGTTTGAGTTCTACCAGGGATGAAGAATTCCCCTATGAACAGAAACTATATTTTTACCATGTAGAATGTTTTTATCATGATGACTACTTAAGCTTTAAATAATGCACAAAGGGTATAGGTTTTAGAGTCGTCCATCACCATCTAAGTGAGAAATTTGCCATGCAACCTTTATAGTATTTGTGTGACTAAAAGCTGTACAGATTTACTGGTAAAGGAAGACAAAAACAACACACCTGTTGATAAGAATAACTTAATTCAGGTATGAAATGAATAAGTAATCATTTTAATAAGAGCACATTTTTACACTACACAATTACAACTGTGGTGAACGGCAGCAGAATTACTAATTTTTTTCAGTATGAGGATGTGAAAATGTAAAGATTTGTCTGTCATTTTCTGGCTTCTAAAACCACTTTGATTTACAAGATGTTTATCAAAAGTTTCTATGATATTGTATCTTCAGTGAAGTAATTGCTGATATTTTATTTAGAATGTCCCTATTAATGTACCAAGGTGATGATATATTGTCCATTGAGAAATAGTTGGTTACCTTCCAAGGTAGTAATTTTTGGGGAGGCTATGCCGACCCAATGTTAATAACTGTCCGTCAAATCTTACTGCCGCGGTAATCAGGTCAAAAAATAGTACCTTGATTTTTTCTAAGCTGACTCATCACTCATCACAGACATTTACAATATGAAAATATTTTCATTCTTCAATTTCATATCAGATAATAATTCTCTGAAAAATTCTTGATTTTTGTTTGTTATTTTTTCAAAATCACTACTCCGTGACGTCATACTGCCGCGGTAATCAGGTTTAGGCATACTTACGTCTGTAATAAATAGTTCTAGTATGAAAACCCTTCTACATAATAACTTTATCAATAATTTTTTAACAAAAAGCATAAATGAAAATTTATAAGTAAATGCTTTAATTAGGTGGCAAATATTCTTTATTATTTTTGATAACAATTTTCCAATTACTACGCAACGACCAACTGTTTATGACGGGTCATTAACTAGAACGTTGCAACACCGTAGTCTCAATATCATGCATGTTCTTTTGTTGATATAAACCATTAATAGTCCTTAATATTTTTTAAAGACAAATAATGGTAAATTGTCGCTTACATCAGAGACATGGATCGTGCTTGCGTGATAACTAAGGAAAACGAACTTATTAGTACACCCTAGGAGGCTGTATGCGGAAAACGCTCATAAACCGCTATATCATATAGCTGTAAAGTGAACAGTTAAATGACAGAAATATGTGGTCAAATATATTTTAACAAGGAAATAATTATTTCAGAGAAAGACGCAAAGATCAGTCTTCAATCAAATGAATGATCCCGTATTTTGTAAAGTTTATTTAATTCTAGGGCAACGCATCATAATTTGATAGTCCATGTGTAATCGTATCGATTTATTCAGGGAATAGACATATACATATACAATTTAATCACAGATATCAATAAATAATAAAATTCAAATTTTCAATACAGATTATGAGATAAATAAAAAATATCAAAGAATAAGAGGCTTAAAAAACAACAACAAAAAACAACAAAAAAACGCATATATATACGAATGACTTACAGTTTAGCATCGGGAATTCATCAACATATCTTACAAAACTTTAATTTGAAAACGATATTCGCGGGCGCTGAAGTGATTAATGTTTATTTGAATAAATCAAATAAAAAAACTTATATGTTTGTGTTCTAAAAATAATCGGCGGCATAAGAGGAATTTCGTATTCATTTTACAACACTTGAAAAAATACTACAGAAAATGTGTTGTTGTTTTTTGTTTTGTTTTCAACAAAAGTGTGTGTGTTTAAGTTTATTTATACTCGGGGCCGGAATAACCATATGTCCGAGATTATAGCATCGGGGATGTCTTTTTCAAGCCGACTCTTCCTGGTAGCCCATTGTTCGTTCGTTGGTGGAAAAGGAGACGACAATACCGGCAAGGCATCAACTTCCTGACTGACGACAACAAAAACGGCATTCATTAGCGCCAAACCTCCAGAGTAAGTCACGACAGGTCAACCAATCACCTCTGGTACTTGAGATGACTTGACCTTGACCTGCCGTGTGCCTTCTCCGCGACGTGCACGCCTCTGGAGGGATTTTGGAGAAGTTTCAACAAAAAACTTCCAAAACACGCTATTTATAAATTATAACACCATTCATAGCACTGACGCTTCGATGTTCTAATCTATTTGCGGGAAATGGTCGACAGGGAAAACCCTACGTAATAACGCACACCCTGTTAACAATAGATTTTCCGCAGTTATATTTCAAGCTAGTGAGGTTTAAAAGATACATGTAGAATCTATCTATTAACTACCATAAATTGGTTGAGTGTTGGCGGTAAAAAAAAGAAGATATAACTTCCTGATCAATTTTCACTTAGGTTGATTCAATTTTGAATAAGCTTTGCAGATATGTATTTTTTCAAGAAATATTTAGTTTTAATAAATATCCGAAGCCGTCAAAGTCAGCGACGAGTAATGAAACGGGAATAATTTTCTGAAACGTGATTTTACTCCAGATCTGCTTCGGAAGAAGACATCTTTCTGTCCGTAGAGCATGGATATTAATACTCATCACAAGACAGTATCTTATTGATCTCAATTATGGTACATGACATGTAAATATGTATAATTTTTATATTCAATAAAAATGTTGCATAACTTGCAGTTGTTATTATCATTCAATGATATTAAAATGACATAAAGTATTTATGATAAGCAGTCCTAGAATATTTTGATAAGGAACAGTCAGTTGTAAAATGTTATTGTTATCTTATAATGAACAGTCGTCATACTTTCTGGTATGTCATTGATTATTGACAGTTTAGGTTTTTCAAAATTTGCAGGATTAGCAGTCCGAATGTAGACCTCAATGAAATGTTCTGGAATATTAACAAAATGAATAGTCAACCATATTAACCATATATATGAATGGTTGAACACAACAGTAAGGATAAATGACACAATGTGCATATCTTCTTATTTTGGTAATAATTGAAATAACAGCACATTTTAAGCAAAAAGAAAAGAAACTATAAGTATGAAACATTCTGTCATAGCCTCCCCATCAGTACATTCAGTGCTTTGATTTTAAGAGTGAACAAGAAACTGAAAATTGTTAGGGCCTCATTAGTCTACAAGTAATGGAAAGAGCATCAAAACATTAGGTTATCTGATTTGTACGAGAGGGGGGGGGGGCACATAAATCAGATTGCCAATTGTTTTGATGCTCCTTCTCTTTTGTATCATAAGCAAAAATAAAAACAGATTCCCTGAGATTACAAAAGAAAGATCCCCAAACAATTATTCTTGTTATACAGTATATATTAACCATTTTTATATATATTGTATATATCTATGCATGTTTTTTTTTTCTTTTCTACAGGTCAACCTTACAATCTTATATATATTGTATATATCTATACATGTTTATCTTTTCTACAGGTCAACCTTACAATCAGTTAGCTATATTAGAGGCTGCTAAAGGGAACAAACTCTCTACAGTGTTCTATTATATACGCAGTCTAGCTGTTAAAGTGCCATTTCCTGTTGCGGCTACCAATCTTGAAAAACTCTATGCAAAACTTACAAAAGAAACGTAGGTGACTTTTAACACTACACCATTGTTGTTTTTCTTTCATTTATTGCAATATTTACCTTATTTCAAATACAAAATGTAACAGTATATACCAAAATTTGGCCACTACCAATGTTAGTTATTGTTCTTTTGATTATTAAATTCAAGAAAATTAACAACAAACAATTTTTAATTGAGAATGATTTCTTACAAAAAGAAAAAGGAAAATAATTCTGGAAAATCAAATTGATGGAATGATCTTAAATTTTGGTCAAGACCTACATCTAATGTTTCACAAAAATTCATTCAAGTTAATTTCTGTCTTGTCATGTCAAAAAAACCTCATCACAGTCATTTCAAATAAATACAATGTACATGTATGTTTAAACTGTAGAATTTACATTACAGTCCAGATTTCAAAGGGAAGTTATCTGCTAGTGAAATGATCACAGGCTTCCTACAGTTCCATGCCCTAGTTCATCTTTGTACAGGTAAGTGGTAATGTAACTTATAGATGTAGCATTTAATGTAAATAGAGGATATTAAATGAGTGTAGATATAATACTAAATTTATTGAATGAGTTGACATTCATAAGCTTTATAGCTTTCTGCCCAATCCCAAAATGTACTTTGTAAATATTGTTCACTTGTTAAATGTTTTGTTGAATAAATATGTTTAAACCAATGAGTTGATAAAAATCATATTATGCGAGCCTTGGGCGTGCTTTAAATTCATTTATTCAGCCAGTCTTTTGAAAGTATCGTGCACAAGTTTATTTAGGGACATAAAATTTTTAAATCTTAATGTGTTATTCTATAGTATTATTTTAATGTTTTCAGATCTGATAAAAGCAGAAGAACTTTCTGATAAATTGGCCGCAGGTCTTCCAGCCCATGTGACCTCACAAAGTTTCCCGTGGCAAGTTCTGGTGCATATCGTGGCAATCAACATCTTTGCAATGAATCACGTGCAACACATGCCGGAAAGTTCTCCAGAATCAGGGATGACTAACGGGGATACAGAACTTACTGATGATGAAGAAAGATGCTTTAATCTGGTTTTTAAATTGACAGGTAAAATATAAATGTAAAATGGTAATTAATTTTATTATTAAAAACGATTTTGGATAAAAAAAAAGGTGAAATATCTTATTTACATATTTTTTGTACAGACAGGTTAAGGGTGCAAATTTGTGTCATTAGGCTTTGAAACGGACAGAAGATTAAAAATGATACATTGGGTGTTTATTAAATTCTTACCAGCCCTAATAGTTTGAGAATTTCCCTTTTGTTCCCTTTTTATACAGAACAGAACAGATTTTATTATTCAATATGACTTTAACATAACAGTTCCTTGTCATTACACAAATATACAGCATACATTAAATGTAGTGAGAGTGAAAATAAAAGCATACAAATTTAACATTTGGTATTATCAGTCATATACATTATTCATATTTTCCTTTAGTGGCACAATAGCTCAGTTGGTTAGACCACTGACTGTCACTTCTGAGGTTCCGGGTTCGATCCTGGGTAACACCCTTGGGATTTTTCAGAAACACTTTCAGTGTTTTCCACCTAATTAGAGGTTTACTTGTACGAAACCCAGGTAATCCTCGCATGTATCAGTGCTATACACTGGGCATGTAAAAGAACCAAGGAATCTATTCAATAAGAGCTAGGGACTTGTTCCCGGATTCCCTTGTATCTCATAGCTGTCTCTAGAGTCTGCTGAGGTAAGGACCATACTGGAATAAGTGCTTGCACTTTCGTAGGTTATCCTTGACCGCTCGGTCTAATGAAAATTAATTAATCAATCATTCAATATTTTCTGAATACATAACAGTAATAAGAATGTATCTGTGTAGGAACAACACATATCATTATTTAAATAAGTATATTTAATAATCAGCACTAGTGCTGGAAAACAATTTCTTTTAGCTAATTTTTTAAGAACGCATCACAGACATTGTTAAACAAAATTTGGTATAGACAGGGCAGATTGAAATAGAATGTAATAATTTTATATACTCTGACTGTTAAACAGATGCTTTACAATTATTGAATGATAATGAGGGGTATATCCAAGTCAGTGGACCTTGCAAATGTGATAGATACACCGAACCTGAAGAATGAATTCTTCATACAATTACTGTTTAACTACATATGTATATAACTTAAATATCCAGCTAACTTACAGAACATTTGTGGTTGTACGCAGTTGCCCATTTGCGCCTGAAATAATGCATGGTAGGCACCTAAGCTCTTCCTTCACCAGTAAAGCTTGAAAGACGCCATATGACCTACACTGTGTTGGTGTGACATAAAACCCAATTGAAAATTAAATAAATAAGGAACATAGTTATTATGCATATGTTATCATTTCAGTGAACATGATGGATATTCTCCTACAGTATACACCTAAACAAGAACATAAAGTGTGTGACTATTTTACTCTACCTGCTGTTAAACTACTTTTAGACTGGCTTAAACTGAATCCTCAAAACTTCGATCATCCTATACTGAGAAACTCTACGTATGTATTGACTTCCTGTCAAACTCTGTTTTATTTTTTAACCCTTCAAACACTTAATATCTGGAATTGACTTGTCCATCTTTTAATCTGGACATGCCATTCATCATTGTTAGGGAAAATTTAAAATATGTACTGACTAAACAAGAAATTGTGCAGATTATACTCAGGTTGCACAGATTTTTATAGCTGATAAACATCACTTGTAAAGCCTCAGTCTCACTTACTCCCGGCAGAGCCCAGGACCATCCCGGTTAGTTACCGGGATGATTCGGGAAGATCCGGAGAAATTATTGTTGCGGTCACACTTACCCCGGCAGCACTACGGTAGTTTCCTACTAACCACCCAGTATGCGCTCCGGATCTTCCAGGCAGAGCCCAGGTGAAGCTACGGATCATGTCGGTGCTTCCCTGGTCATTTTGTAGACCAATTTACTTTATAGCGCAATACATGTATATTAAAATCACAAGTGCTAAATATCTTTTATCCTTTACATTGTAAATTGAGATTTAAATGATTAACTTCACATTAATTTGAATTTATGAAATATTTTTAGGGTAATGGCCAATTTTCTACGTACATGTGTCAAAATATAGGAAAAAAAAACCAACATAAATATATGTAGAAATATTTCCATATTTTAGGTTATGGAGCAACTTGTGTAAAGTATTAAATAGTATTCAAGACTGGCAGATAAAAGATGGGGAACAAGATTTGTCTAAGCGTAAGTTTTATATTTATTTTGTTTCAAAAAGAATAAAGATGTTTTTAGTATAATTATTATTGACTATTTTCTGTCAGGGACTTCAAATTTTTTTATGTGAGGAAGTTATCAAGCTAGTTACAGATGGTCTGTGGTGCTACTTATGTGCTTGCTTTTGCCTAACATATGGACACCTGAGGTCTCCCTCCAGCATTTAATCTAGAAGGTTGCCATGTGACCTTCACATTGTTGATACAAAAAATACTCATTAAAAGCGTAACATTTACAATACCCTATTTTATGTTTCAAAGTTTAAAACACTTTCTAGCACTTTGAGAGCATCCTTTAGTTTCAACATTATCTTATTGGAAGTATGTCTATTTGTATATGTAGTATTTTCTTTTCTCTTAAGTGTAAACTGTATAATTGTAATGAAATCTGGAAGCATATATAAAGCACTATCAAGTCCAGTTTTTGGAACACACCAGTGCTGGACAGGAAACAAGGTTGTGACCCTTTTGGGGCTCGAATTTATAATCTATGGTTTGAGAAGAAGACACATTGACAACAAGGCCACCTCCCCTTCTTTACTTTAGATTATGCATATGTATCTTGATATGGTTATTACATAAATCATGTTTGAGTATGTTTTCTTGAACTAAACATTTGAGCCGCGTCATGACAAAGCCAACATAGTGCGTTTGCGACCAGCATGGATCAAGACCAGCCTGTGCAGTCTGATCAGGATCCTTGCTGTTTTCGCTCACAAACCATATAACAAGTAGAGAAACTGATAGTGAACAGCATGGATCCTGATCAGACTGTGGGGATGTTAAGGCTGGTCTGGATCCATGCTGGTTGGAAACCCATTATGTTAGTTTTGTCATGAGGTGGCTCAATTTTATTGTTTTACTAATATATGAAAATCTGAAAGAACAATTTTAACAATGCAGATAGATTAAGTGACATTATGGGCATCCATGGATATATAGAAATTGAACAGTTTAAAGTCAAAATAAGTTTTACATTTTGACATAATTCCTTTAAATTTTATGATTTACTTTGCCTAAGTCACAAATGACTCAAATGGTCCAAATTGTTGGTCACTCACCATTATCACAGTCAATCATTAATTCAGCTCAACTAGACAATAAAAAATGAGCATGTCACTTTAACAATTGAAAAATGTGTAATTTGACCCTGTTCATGAGAGGTAACATGAAGATAGATGGTTGCAACTTAAACTCACAATGCCTGAATTTAGAGGGAGATGAATTTAGACTGACTATGGTAACACTTACATTTTATCTTTGTTTTCAGATGAAGATTTGCCATTACCAGAAGATGCAGAGTTGAGATGTTTTCAACCAATAGAAAAAGCTCAAAGGTGAACAAATTTTCATTTAATATTCTTTGAAATTTTTTGAATGCCTGTAAAGGCATTGTTTTGCCAATACCACCAATGTTTATGGTGCAACAATATTCCGATAATCTGATGCATGTATATTCTAATGTAGTATTGAGTGTAATGTCACACAGTACCGAAACTTTATACAACAATATTTTCTTTAATAATTTATCAAAATAATTGCATATTTTAACTATTTCAAGCACAATATTGTCTTTAATATTTGATGAGGGACATCAATGTGTGAGCGGTTAAGGTCATTGACTACAAACCACTTGCTCCTCATACTGTAGGTTTCTGCTGTCTGACTAATGCTTCAAGGGCTATTTATGCATATTCTGACCTTTTTTGGTAATTTGCATAGATATCAGTGCCGACTGCTTGGAAATCATGAGTACTAATTTCATATTAGGAAAGGGAGGGAATCCATGATCCCTTGGTTGAGACATCTTCACAACTAATCCCTGCTTTCCTTGTAAGATGGTCTTTGCTTTCATGTGGTCTGTCAGTCCAGGTTAAAATTACTACCAATAAAATTCATCCAGGAAAATAAGATACTGGTCATTAAGAATAGGTAGTGACTTGAAAGTTGCTTGAATTGCAGTTTTGACTGTTCTAAGTATTTGATAGTAATTTGCTTTATATTGTTTTTATACCATTATGTAATTTTTAATATACATGCACTTTACTAAGTACTTTACTAATGTTTATTATGTTACAAGGTTTATATAACTTAGTTGAGAAAACACTGAGTCATAAGGTCATCGGCACTGTAAGACTTCCTGTGTGGTTACAGTTACATTTTACATGGTTACTCAACAGCATGTGGCTACTTGATTTAAAAAGTCAGTTTATGTGTACATAAGATATTGATATTATCACCTGAAGGTCACAAACTATTACTTTCAATATCATACAGACAGTTTATATCTCACTTGATTCACCAATTCAACCATGATATACATGTACTTTCTACTGGTCTAAATGTAACAATGATTTCTTAGTTGAGAAAAAGATAGTGTCATGTCTGTACCTCAGATTTGTAAGTTTAGGCAAGGTACTGACCTGTCTATTTACCTCAGATGCGAAATTTAGGCAAGGTACTGACCTGTCTTTTTACCTCAGATTTGTAAATTTAGGCAAGGTACTGACCTGTCTTTTTACCTTTGATAAGTTAGTGTTTAGTCTATTAATTTGTAAGTTAAGAAGACAACAACTTTGAATTTTAATCACCACACTGATAAATATAAAGATGTTAGTGTAACAATAAAAAATCAGACGTGATCTGTGTAGCCAGCGGTATAGAGTACTGCCGGTGTTGGTTAGTCTATAATTGTCTCATTTTAGCGATAAAAGGTGTACATGAGGTTACACATTGTTACATAATTGATTTCTTTAGCTTTGCCATCATCCCATCCTACCTGCTTCCTTTCACATTTTTATGACTGATGTTGCTATTATAGTATTACGAAATATGCTGGATATTATGTAAATTAAATAGACATATGTGTTAGACATGAGTTATTCCTGTCTTATATAACGTGGTTATTATACAATGACTGGGTTATTATATACATGTAACATAGATATGCTTAAAATATGCCCTATACCTTCCTTTATCTCAAATTAATTCTAACTAAAATTCACTAATAACTTTGAACATATATGTTAGATCATATTTTATGTTTGTTTAAAATAATTCATTCAAATATTTCACTTATTTTTCCAGTATGATGTGATTCTAAATCCCCCTCTCCCCAACTCCCACCTCTTTATCAAGTGACCATTTCACTATTCCTTTATTTATGGTAGCCATTTTTGGTGGCCATATTAGATTTGCAAAATCTTGATCAAAGGCTAAAATGAAGAGAATTTTATCGTCAAGTTTCATACTTTTCACAACAGATGCACAATATGCCCTACCTATTTTTTTCATGGATTTCTTGCACTATTGGTTCCATCATGGTCAAGTTACTGATTCCCACAATCCCATTTTTGTTTCAGTACTATGGGCAAGGTTTCATGCATGCGTGTTATATAATGGTGAATAAAAACAGTAAACCTCTTTAAATTAAACAAAGCCTTCACACATATTGATTTGTTTATCATTTGGATTATTTAAGCCGTATGCTGTGTTATATTATAGTTTATACACTTTCATTATCTCTTAATTATAGTGGATGGAGTTACAGTAAACTGCCAGCAGAGGGTCTTGCGTCAGATATAGAGGTGCGCTTGAGATGCCATAGATTACTGGAGCACGGTCATTGGATAAAGGAAGAACAACCAAGGTTTCTTGATAATATTCGTATAATGTAGTTTTAACAGTATTTTGTAGAATTTCTTTAAAGGGTATAAAGCTATATCTGATGAAAAAATTTGTAAAGCGGTAAATACAAATTGTTTTCATATCCTAGCGGTGATATCTCGAATGCCCCTGTTAATTTAACATACATGAATATTGTACGTAAATCAGAATAAAATGTTCTAGAACAAAATATTCCCCTGCTATTTAAGTTGGTTTAGCCATTATATAACACATGTTCCACTCGCTTTCATTAAAATATATGGACATATTTCTTTTGTTTTACAGTTTTTGTAGCTAATTATATTATAATATAAACATTATTTTTGACATCCAAAAACACCAAAGATATAGCTTTATACACTTTAAAGTGAATTGGTCTTTAATGGATAGTGTGTTATACCAAAAATATAATTGAGTATTTTATATCATATGACACAATAGACAAACGAAAGATTTAGATAAATGGATTTTGTTGGAAAGTGTGAGATACATGATCCAATATGACATATCTTTCACAGCTTTCCCTGTCGAGTACGTACCCCGGACATATCACCTATCATGCCCTTAAAGGGTAAAATTTGAAGCACAAAGTGGTTATAATTTACTTCCATGCAATTTCCACAGAGTATTAGTTAAAGATAGAAATTTGAGCCAAAGTAGGTCACTGTATGGCGGTCAACGAGAAACTAAATGTACAGTAACCCGAGACAATAAGGAAAGGCATATGGCATGTATACATGACTTATACTTATAACATGAATTTGTTTATTTTTAGTGTACAGTTATCTGTTAAGAGGAGCACAGCGGGAAGTTTACAGTTTAGTTCCCCTACCCCACCCCCTACAAATAAGATAACAAAGACTGTGACCCTGTCTGTACCAAACACACACTCAAATCATACAACTTCCTTGATGAGCACTGCACCCAGTCCAGAGAGGAAATCTAACAGACAAAATGTTGCTATACAGGTATATTTCTAACTTACTTGTTGTTTTTTCAAAGGAGCATAGAGTTCAATTAGGGTGGAGAATTTAATTTGTTCCAATAAAAACATTGTCACTATATCTCAACATGTTCTCGAAGTGTCATAAAATTTGATGATACAGTTTGATAAACAAACTAATCGTGCATGACCTTTCACATTTGAGCTGCTTATGTAATTATCGCAGTCCCCTATTGATTGTTTAAGTGTTCTGTTGGCGGATATTGTTATCTTACGTTGGCACTAGTGAAATTCACCTATTAAAGATATTATGAAACAAGAATTAATATTTTATCGCATTTTTGCACCATTGGCGAGTGACAGCTGGTACCCAGAGTTGAACATATATTCATTTATGTGTCACACTCTAATGTTCCCTTTTAGCTCTATCTGATCTTAGTCACTGAAATTTTGAATATTTGATATGATGGTCCCTTTGATTGAGTTAGACTGAATCAAGGTCACTATTTCATGAATTAAATTTTCTACTCTTTCCATTATAAAGTAAGGCAACTATTTCAGTTATGTTATATCAGTAAAGTATACTGTAATTAAATTTTTATGCCAAAAGAAGGGGAGAGTGCATTTATATGAGTAATTTATGAGTAATATGGCACTCAATTCAAATACTACGACTTCTGAAAATGTTTGTTTATGTATGATATATTTTTCATTTTTCAGGCCATAATGCAGAAGCAGGCAGAGAGTACGGGTAAAAGTGTTAAAATCAAAGACGAGCCGAATTCACCAAAATACCTGCTTGGGGTTCCAACTTCAGAACCATTGTTCTTTAAAGCTGGGGGTCAACGTCAGCCAGGGCCAACTACCGGGACACAGAGCGTTCAGTCCTCCCCATCACCTTCTAAACCAGCAGGTATGTGTCGATCGTTAAAGCTGCAAGCCTCCGGTTGATTAAAGATTCTAGTAATTTGTAATTAAGGACTAATTTTGCAATATTTATCACCATTTACAGCAGAAAAATTCTTGTTCAAATCAGTTTTCAGGTGCTTTTCTGCAGGGGTAAATATTAAATTCTAACACTATCAGAATTTTTTCTATGTAAACAAAGAAGGTCGGAAGCATGCATTATTGTACGACAATGCACTCACCAATCTAATTACCTCCCTGTGTATTTTCAAACCAACACATTGACAGCGCCATTTTGTTTGAAAAATAAAAAACAATTTTTTGTCAAAATTTTGTTGTGAATACTATCTAGAATGAAAGAAAATGGTCTAACTAAGAAAATGAATCTGAACACAAATACCTTAAAGCTGTACAGACAGTTAAAGTGTTGTTTATGTGACGTCACAAAGTACACCAAATAGCACATGCAAAAACAATCAAATCAAGAACACTATTTCAATGTCGCAAACAAGTTAAAATTTCAGATTTTATTTCACTATTAATTCTTTGTATTTCACTTGAAAAATATAGAGTGAAATATAATAAACAAACAAAGTTTAATCAAGGTTTCCAATATTTGTTATTCTCAAAATGTTTTTTACACATGGTAGATTTAACGACAGTTTTTTTAACCCACTGGAACAGCCTTTAAAGAACGTTTCTATGGGAAACTCTGAGGCGAAAACAAATTTAACCACCAAACATAAAGTTCAACTATATGATAATTAATATATTTTTTCTTGACGTGTTAGAATGGAAATAGATATAAATTCTTCTTATATAATACTGGTTTTTTTATTATTAACAGATTGGCAATACATATCATCAGTTAAAATTGCTGTTAGAATCGGTTGTATTTTCAGCCTGTAAATTTAAATGCCCCTGAAAACCCTGAAATAGAGAAACTTTTATAATGTTGGTAATTTGATCAGAAAACATTTTGGCACATCCAGCTATTTTCCCTTCTTAGTACAAAACTTGTCAATTGGAGAATGAACTTCATATGTTCAACATGTATTTTCATAAAAATTCAGCAAGGTTATGTAAATAATGTGTAGTGCAATTATTTACAGAGGCAAACATTATTTCTTTTATGTTATTGTTAATTTAAAACAAAAGTGAATTCTTACAAAACATCTAATGGAATGCATAACCTCATAGTAAGTTTGAATATTTGAATATATAATTTTGTATACCAGTCTAAAGTTCTTTCATCTCATTGGTTGATTTTTACATCATTATTAAATAAGGACCAATGAAAGAGCAGCATGTAAAGAATGGTTTCCATACTCTTGTTTTATACAACAAAGTTTAACATTTATGCCCCATCTGTTCAACTTACATTATTTACAAGCCATTCAGCACGGTTTTATTGATTTACCTCCCCTTTTCCAGATTTTTATAACCTTGAAAGATTCTGCTGTTTCAACTTTATTGATCAACTTTCTCTTTAATTGATGCTCACAGGGTCGCAACGGCACTCACAAAAACACATGGCTTTTACATGTGACTTAAAATAAAAATTAATAGAAGATAAATAATTATATGTGATTTGTATGTCTAAAAATTAAAAACTTGCCTACATTGTCCTTTGATATTTCAGCACGAGCCTTTTAGTAGCTTCAGGTGGTTAAAATAATTGTTATAATTATTTACTTCTCACTTTTACTTAAGAATAATTTGAAACTCTTAGTTGAGATGAAAATTATAACATGGAAAATGACATCCAGCAATTATCCGTGTATCTTATTATCTATAATTATGCACTTTAATTGCTTAGAAGTTTTCTTAAGTGGCCCCCATATATATCATTATTTAATAGGTTCAGGAATCACTCGCATGCTTTCGGTTGCTATGGTATCAAAATAGATAATAAATGTCTTTTTTTTAAAGGTCTATTACTGTTTGTGAAAACAACTTGAAATATTCTTCTCTGAAAATGTGTTGTCCAGATTTGGTTATACCGGTACATTCAAAGAAACAAGTTTATGTTGTTTAATATATTGTATCTGTCAGGTAGCAGCAGTTATATCTACAATACTTTTTTAAGAAAAAAAAGCGTTTATTGGGAAGGGGGATGAAAGGGGATGGAGGGGCAGGGTAAGAAAGAGTTAAGGCCTTAGCAAATTGATAGTTTCAGGCACTGACTTTTAAATCACATGTTACTTCTCTGGGATTGAATCTTGCTTGAGAAAGTAAATTCTCCCTTTTGTTCTGAGGTAGTAAATAACTATGCTTCAGTTTTAACTACAGTTTTATAGTTATATAAAAAGGGACATTATAATTATCAGGCTGGATTGTAACTTTTTTAAGTTTTAAATATTAACACTTTTTTATGGCCAGAAGTCACTGAAGTTTTAGGTTAAAAGTGATTTTGTGAAGTAAAGGAGGCTTGTTTTGTTTTTGTTTTGGTGTATCTATATTAAAGCACCTTTCTGTTCCTAAATTACATGTTACCCTTTACTCCTAAATTCTAAGTTACTGTGACATGTGACAATACATGTATACTGAGAAATCTTTTACCTAGAATTACAGTATAGATTTCACTTGTTAACTTTCCAATTCTACAAATGACTATTTACAATGTGAGTTTAATTTAAAATGGTAGATATAATAAGAGGACATTGTATTGCCAGTCATGTGGTGATTTGATAGGATCCACAATTCATTTCTGGCAATTTTCAAATTTATAGCATAAAATCGGCTATTTTTCCCTATTTTGCCTATGTTATAACGGGACCAAAACCATGCGTTAACATAGTCACGCGCTCTTGTTATAGCCCGGTTTCACCTATGCGCAATACATACAGGGCCCAGTAAAACAAACAAAAAAAGTGACGATTTGGCCTGTTTGCCAAAGAGTCATGCGCTCTTGTTATATTGAAATTATTGATTCGAGGGCATCAATTGCATAACGGCGAGCAGCATTCAAGTAATTATGCCGGCAATACGGCGTATAGACATCGCCGCTAATCTTGGTTGTCGCCCTTTCTTAGAAACGGACAGTTGTCAATGTAAACAAATAGAATCTGTCATTCAGTTTAAACTTACAAAAATGGAAAGCACAAAATGAATATGAGTAAACGTTGTTTTATTGATGTGTATATTGATAGATGTTCTTTATGTTTCTTTGAGAGAATAATGTTTTATGCCTGATTTTTTTAAACTTGCGTGCTTGAAAAAAAACCGATTCTGAAATTGAATCTAGCTATGTCCTACCGCCAATCTGTAATCATTCTAGGAATTTCTGAGGGGCCTGTTTTGTCTTGGGTAGAGTAATGTTATGTTTTTCTTAAGTAAATATATCTCCAAAGTTAAATTTGTTTAATCAATTAAAATTCGAAATTTCGTTCGGTTCCCAAAATGTTGGCCCCGGAAAAAATAAAACGCATACGTAAAACATGTAGAGTTGGATAAATACCGTTCAAGCACAAGGATTTAATGTTTGTGATTTGTATATAATATACATCATGAATCTGTTTTCAAATTTTATGCTATAATAGCGTCAACGCACGTTTATTTCGTGCTATAAAGTCTGCAGAGTCCCTCGGAACTGTTGGAGCCCTCGCCCTATCGGGCTCGGGCACCCACCGTTCCTCGGGACTCTGCAGACGTTATAACACGGAAAAACATGCGTTAACCCTATATAAACAACAATTATCTTATTTTGTAAATTTTCTGGAAATTTTAATACATTATTGAAGAGTTATTGGAATTTTAGCTAAAAAAATGAACAAGTAGAGCTATTATACTCACCCAGGTGTGACATGGGAGTCATACTTTAGTTAAGTTTTTGCAAGTTGGTATCTTCAAAACAACTGAAAAGAACAGGTTAAAATTTAAAAATACAATTTTATAGCAAATAGGAGGCATTTAAAAGGGCCCCTAACGTAACTTGGATTTTTAAGAAATTTTTGGTTTTTTTTAAACATTGGGAAAAAATTCCTACATTATGCAGGCTCTTTGTTTTACTATCAAGCTCTGAAAAAGTGGAGCATGCTGTCCTTCTTACAGCTCTTGTTTCTCAATAAAGGGTTGATATGTGATCTAACGACCTTAGGACTAATGAATACTGGAACCATATTGTCAAGGTCTGAATCGCAAATATCTGCGTAATTGACTAATTGTTACAGCCCTTATATAATTGTGACTCTGAAAAAAGATTATTTGTACTCCTTGAAGGAAAAAAAGCGTCACTTTTAACCTTGACCTTTTCTCACTATTCAAGGTCATTGGCTATTCAAGGTCATTCTTTCCTGTCTACTTTGCAGAGTGAATCAGAAATTAGATTAAGCAATTTACCTCTAGAAATCTCTAGCAATATTGGTTAGATAATGAGGGCCAATTATCTAGGAATAACAGCGTATTCAGACAATTATGTTGAAAATTTTCACATTAATACAGCAGGAAGACAATTTAATTATGCATTCAGTGTTTAGAAATGACAGAAATACTTAAAGCTATAAATAGAAAAAAAAGTGTTATCATTCATGTAAAGAAGGTCGTAATACTCTTACCGTGGGCAGCTAGCTTCCTCCTTGCAAGCTTGGCTAATAGATATAGATACTTATGATACATCTATATATCATCATCTTAGTGCATTAAATTTTGATGGGAATTAATACATTACTGCACTAAGGTGACAATGTGATACTAACTCTATGATAATATCTGTATGAACACATCTGCTAATTATTCTTAATTAAAAATTTCTCCATTTTCATGTTTAAATGTTGAGTTCTGCTTAGGGGCATGGAGAATAGCTGGCACTTTTCCAGTATCATCCATGAACAGGCTCAATCAAACCAAACCAGCAACATATTTAGTTTTAGGTGTTCTTTAAAGTTTCTGTTTTTCTATATTTTATTACCTACATATGTGAATAGCAACTTTAATGTCCTTAAAATGGATTTGAATATTTGATTCAGCTAAATTGTACATTGAAAATCGAGAATGCTGTTCTTCTGTTAACTGGTATTGTAAATAACTGCGATTTTCAATTTGTTCAATAGGTCACACCGGTGGGGTGTTAGTTATCAAAAATTCAGAAGTGTTGAACCAGACTACAAGTCGCCCCAGTAACCAGTCAAAGTCATGGCAACAACAGAGACAGGGAGCAGGTAGTGCGTTATCATGGCAACAACAACAGCAACAACAACAACAATCTAAACAACAGACAGAGAAAACAGGATGGCCAAATTTACAGGTTGAGCATTTAGTTCAATTAAGAAATGAGCTGCGTCATGACAAAACTAACATAATGGGTTTGCGACCAGCATGGATCCAGACCAGCCTGCGCATCCGCACAGTCTGATCAGGATCCATGCTGTTCGCTTACAAACCCTATAACAAGCAGAGAAACTGATAGCAAACAGTATGGATCCTGATCAGATTACGTTGGTTTTGTCATGACGCGGCTCAAATATGAATTACTTGAATATATACTAAATAACGGAAAAGAATTTTTTTCAATAGAATATTGCTTTCTCAAAGTATTTCAGGGCACAAAACTTATTTTAATTTTCATCTACTTGTATTTTTTATTAAAAGACAATGTAGTATTCATGTGGTTTTATTAAGTAAGAGAATTTATACGGTAATCCACTTCCTGTTTATCCACTTAGTTAAATTAGTTACATTTTTCGACATTAATGGTCAATGGTAGGAAATTTTCGTAACAGTTTTTCACAGTCAAACTACTTATCACAGCCTTTGATATTTGGCATACAGCATTGACACATGGTCCATACTGTGGATTTGATTTCAGGTCTGTCGCTCATCCACTTCCTGTTTATCCACTTAGTTAAATTAGTTAGATTTTGACATCTAAATGCGTCAATGGTAGGAAATTTTTCGTAACAGTTTTCTCAGCAACTAACTTATCACAGATCCCTCTTGATATTTGGCATTGCAGCGTTGACACATGCCGTCCCATACTGTGGGATTCGATTTCAAGTCTGCAGCTCATCCACTTCCTGTTCACATTAATGGTCAATGGTAGGGAAATTTTCGTAACATTTTTTCTCAGAAACTACTAATCACAGCCTTCTTGATATTTGGCATACAGCATTGACACATGGTCCCATCTGTACTGTGGGAATAGCCATTTTTAGGTGTGTAGCTAATCCACTTCCTGTTTACCTACTGAAATTAAATTTTCGACATTAATGGGTCAATGGATAAATTTTTTTTCGTAAATGCAATCACAGCCTTCATTTGATATTTGGATGTACAAATGTCAACCAGGCCTTTTCTGTCTTTGACCCATTTTTTTGTATTTGAAAGTTCATGGGATTTGAAAATTTGCTAGCAGAAATATAAAAACTTCCTATGTGTGTTTTTGTTTTGTTTTTCAATCCTTTGTGTTTTTTGTTTTTTTTTTCATTATAACAGCCACAATCTCAGGTTCCAGGTCAACAAATCAGCCATCGTCAATGGCAACAACAGAAGTACCAGCACGACCCCAGTTGTCACCTCAACCAAGGTCTAAGGACAGTGTGCAATTTCCTGGCTCAGCCACCATTTTTAGGTAAAACGATATAAGGATTTTAATACATTGTACTTTTTTCAACCACATTCGCAAATGACCAATACTGGATTTCAATAATTGCTTTATTACTTTGAATGCAGTTTAAAAAAAAAACATAGTAAGTTTTGTAAGTAAAAAGAGAAAACAATAACAAAACAGAATTTAATGTGGCAAAAATGATAGTCTATTTTTGTGAGAATTTGATATAAAAATTGAGAATGTTTTTCCTCTTTACTTTAATCAAACTGTTGAATTTAATTGCGCACACTTTCAAAGCCTTTGACATAAAAGTTTATTTTGTATGTGTATTTTATAGAGCAAGGAGCCCTATGAGTCTACAAAAATGGGAAAAGGGG